GGTTGAGGGTTTGAGGGTTTAGGGTAATTAAGTTATGACCAGGCAACATCCTACAATTTTCCACTGTAGCATGGATAACACGTTTGTTTCGCAAAGACTCAGGTATCCAGATGCGCAAGGCAACTTGGTGGAAAATATTTTGAAGATGCGAATGCCTCAAACCATTTGCTTGGATCTTCCTGTGAACAAGTACTTCCTAATCATTTTGGGCCATAATCCCTCCATATTCCCCGCGAAGCTTTGAGAAATTAGTCTTTATGGCCCCTGAGTCAGACGTTCTGATGCCATCCGAGGCAGCGTACCTCCCGGACTCACAATGGTCAAAGGACAATTGGGCACCATGATCCCCTGTGGTGGCTATTCTCATTAGTGCTTAGTAGGGATAAGGGAAAGAATCCTCATATAATCCTTATATGATATATTCCCTTATTCCCTACTAACCCCCATTAAGCAACTGTCTTTAGAAGGTCTTTGGCTGGCGTGGTGAGATTGCATGCAGGACCTGGCCGGGTGGAAGATGACAGGGACTTCATGCTGAATGTTCTTAAGGCGGGTTGCGCGCCCTCTTGATGGAGCCCTCAACTGTAAACCCTAAGCCCTATATCAACCATTATCGTAGTTTCATTTTCTTTTCCAGTATCCCCATATAACCCCTAACATATACCCTCATACTACCCCAATGAGTCACTAACCCACTTCATGATTTCATCCGAACTCAGGATGGCGCAGAGTTCGAGATTGTGCTTGACTTCAACGCGCGGGACAAGCGCAAGGCAAAGCGGTTGCATACATACAAATGGGTACCTTTCCTGGGGGTCCCCATAGTAAGGATTATAGTATGTTGGGGTCTATGTTGGGGTTCCCCTATGTAACCCTTATATAACCCCAGAGTCCATTTCATTTTCCATTGTCTCTTCCATTTGATTTTCTATAATTGGGGGAAACTCCCCCTAAACTCTACACCCTAAGCCCTAAACCATACACAATCCTTATATAATCCCTATATAACCCTAAACCCTACATATTCCCTATGTTATCCCTACCTTTTCCCCTAAACTCTACACAATCCTTTTCTAATCCCTATATAATAACCCCTATGTATAATATGAGCTGTATAATATCCCCCTTGGAAGGTAGTGGATGTTCGATGGCTCAGCGAACCTGTAGACGTGGACAGCATGCAACTTGGTAGCACTTCTCGGATGTTGCACATGTGCAGGGTTTGGGGTTGAGGGTTGAGAGTTTAGGGTTTAGGGTTTAGGGTTGAGGGTTGAGAGTTTAGGGTTTCGGGTCGGATATTACCAGCCCAATAATGGAAAATCAAATCGAAAAGAACATGGAAAATGAAATGGAAACTGGGATTAGAGGGTAGTTTATAGGGATTAGGGTTTAATGTCAGCTATAGTCTAAACTCTTTAAAGGGGGATTATATAGGGGATCATGTAGGGTTTAGGGTTTAGGGTCTAAACTTCTTAAAGGAGGGTTATGCAGGGGAGTACTTTAAGGGGTATTAAGGGGGATAC